ACACACCCCCTCCCACACACACACACACACTCTCTCTCACACACACACACACACACACAATGGCAAGCCAACGTGTAAACAGGTAAACCAGACGAAAAGAACTCCTCTTTCTTTAATGTTCTCCATGCTGCAGGTCGAAAGCGTGTGCTCACTTTATAGGGCTCGAGTCTGTCATGTGTTGTCCGCTGTATGGGGTGTTAGGGTAAAGCATTGCTGCCACATACACATTCTTTCCTCTCAGTCGCAATCACGAGATGTTATGTCGTTTAAACGGCATACTTTTATATTTAGATTTTTAATAACGACATATGACAAAGGTCTGCACTCTTTAAGTCTTTTATTGGCATCAAAGCAGCAGATAAAAAGCCAAACGTTTCAGCTATCTGCCTTCATCAGTGTGACAATTCTTTGTTTCTTAATGATTATATCGGCTAACAAACGATACACATCAGGTGATTATAGTTAATCAATCAATCCACAGACACTTAAACATCAAGAGTTAAATAAAGGGAACAATAGTACATCAGGCAAAACATGCTGTTCATAAACATTGGACCCAGAAAGAGAGAGAGATTTATTTATTTTTTACAGAAAACATGAAAGGTCAAAATCCTCCTTCAAACCTGAAGTTGACATCGTCTTTAAATAAAACATCCAGATTGCTTCTCTTTGTAAAAGTTTAGTGTCAATACCTCCAGGACTGTGAGATACTTTCACATCTTCAATATACATTTAAGTTGTTCTATTATCATGCTTACAATCAATAAAATGTCTGGCGATTGGAGAAGTAACCTCATGTCTTATGTTCACTTACTCTTATTCTTACTGACCTTGATACATCAATGGTAAATAAATATCATTCTTAGTAGAACATGTAATGCGAGATTTAATCTGATAACACTCTTCAGACTCAAGCCCTATAAAGTGAGCACAGTACACACTAAGGAAAGAGCACGCTGTTTTCGCCTGTTTGTATGGCAAGCCAAGAGGTTCACATTTACGCTATAGATAAATAGCGTTTACATACAAAACGCCGTATTGGACTGCGTTTTAAACAATATTAGCGCTGTCAAATACACCGTCCTGATAGCAGACGCCGTAAAAAACGCCGTATTTCATGGTGTTTTTAGTGTTTGTAAAAAGCGCCGCTTTTAACGCCGTTCTGATTGCACAAAAGCGTGCGTTATTTACGGCGTTTCCTTTCCTCTGTATTGTTTTTTTTTTTCTTTAAATGTTGTTTCAACACGGGAAAAAAACAGATTTATGATTGTTAAAATATGCCTTAAGTGTTTGTATTCGAATAATGTTTAATAAAAAAAATAAATAAAAAAATTTAAAAAAAGTTCCTCTGACTCTGGATGAGTATTGAGCCAAGTGTTCAGATTAACAGGGCTTTCAGCGTAAACGGTGATTGTATCAGTTAGCCTATATAGTGTAGCAACTTAAAGGCTACACATGATGTTTCTCACTAGCGAGGGAATAACAGCGCTGTTTAGAGACGCTGCTGCAGAACACTGTTGAGGGACGCTCAGAGCTAGCCTAATTCACACAAGCTCTCTCTCTCTCTCTCTGTCTGTCTCGCTCTCTTTCTAATAACTTCATTAATAACTGCATTAGAATGCTATCAACCCTCCATTAGCAGCTTTACAATGACGTTTGGGTGATTGTTAAAATATGCCTTAAGTGTTTGTATTCGAATAATGTTTAATAATAAAAAATAATAAAAAATTTACGGCGTTTCCTTGTAGTATAATGAGTCTGGTTCTGTTCATCACTGATTGGGTGAGAGCAGTTCAATATTACTGGCTGTGGAAATCAGCGGGCGTGGCTTATTATACTACAAGCAAAACGCCGTAAATAACGCGCGCTTTTGTGCAATCAGAACGGTGTCCTGTGGCAAGTCGAATAGGTTATACTGAGCGGAATAATTGACTCCAGGCCGTTGAATTATTAGAAAAATAATGCACACCCGCGGTGTAACGGCCACTCCGCATCAGCACCTCGGGTGTGCATTATTTTTCTAATAATTCAACGGCCTGGAGTCAATTATTCCGCTTGTACAACGGTTACCACACCTCAAGACATCGATCAGATGATATATTTAAAGGGATTCGTC